TTTTTTGATATGGGTCTTATTGTGTAGTTCAGATTGGTTTTGAATTCACTAGGTAGCCCCAGATGGCCTCAAACTTGTGGCAATCCTCCTGCAAGAGGACTAAATCCTATACTCCCTCTTATCCTTCAAGGACGCACAGCTCTTGCTCTAGCATCCTCAGAGAAAGAGGGGCAACCTCCCACCCAGGTGCAGGGGACTGAACTTTGTGTATGCTGGGCTAGCGCTGCACTGCTCAGCCACATGTCCAGCCCTGGTAACAGAATGAAGAACAGCAGTCACCCTGAGGAGGAAACAAAAAGATTTTGGGCATTTCTAAGAGGTTGTAAACTAGGTACTTTGAAGGGAAGCGTGTTTCACCCGTATGGTGCAAGGCAGAACAAAGATGCAGCAACCTAGAGCCTTCTGTGGATTCTACTAAGGTCTAAAGTTTCACCATATGGTCTCTCAGATTAAGAACCTATGTATTGGGGTGGGGTATTTAGCTCAGCGGCACAGCGCCTGCCTGCCAAGCGCGAGGTCATGAGTTCAATTCCCAGTACCGGAAAAAAACAAAAAAACCCCAAATAAACAAAAAGAACCTATTTATCATCCCTTTTCTGTTTTTTTTTTTTTTTTAAACTTTGTTTTGGTTTTTTTTTGAGACAGGGTCTTGCTATGTAGTTTAGGCTGGGCTTGAATGTGTGGTGCTCTTCCTACCTCAGCCTTCTGAGTGCTGGGGATTACAGTGTGTGCCACCATGTGCCGCCAATTTTTTGGTTTTTTTGTTTGTTTTCCGGTACTGGGAATTGAACTCACGACCTTGCACTTGCCAGGAAGGTGCTGTGCCACTGAGCTAAATCCCTAGCCCCTATTTTTTTTACCTTTTTGAGACATGGTCTGTAGTGGAGGCTAGCCTGAAACTCCCTATGTAGCTCAGGTTGGACTTGAATTCACAATCTTCCTGCCTCAGTCTCCCAAGTGCTGGGATTACAAATGTGCACCACCATGCCTGGTTCCCTACCTCCCCTTTCCTAACCTCCTGACCTCCAGGGATTTGACCTGCATGTCAGATGATCAGAGGACACCTGATACCTCTAAGCCTTACAGCTCACTAGTACAGCAATGAAATACAGTAATTTAGAACATGGACTATAAAATTTGAAAGACCTAGATCTGAATACCAAAAAGCCTGTGTTTTCTGAACCAGAGTTTTATCTGCAGAATACCTCCATTTCAAGAGCAATGTGAAGATTTTAAAATAATGTATGTGAGAAGTTTATTTACAGCTGAGGTAGAAGGATCACAAATTCAAGGACAGTCTGGGCAACTTAGCAAAATAAACTCTGAAAAAGAGCTGGAGATGAACCTCAGTGGTAGAGTACTTGTCTAGTATGCACAAGGCCCTGGGTTCAACCTTTAATACACAAGGAAAAAAAGAGTTTATTTTTAATCTTTAACACCAAAGAAGCATTCTATAAGAGGCAGCAATTACTATACTCAGAGATTTCAGGTTGGGCAATGGGCAGAAACTGGAGAGTGAGGCAGAGGTGGGCACTCTGGCGTTAATACTCTTGGCTGCACCTGCACTAGGAGTTCTCCCAAGGTGACAAATAGGTGTGAAACTAAACCCTAGAATCCTAGCTTGAATCAGGGCATCTTGGAAAGGCACAAGCCTTGCAAGATCCCCAGGGGGCCAGGGAGAGTGAGGCTTAAACCTTTGAATAAAGGGGAAATAGCACGAATAGCTGAGCAGGATTGGGAAGAACACATCAGACCAGACAATGGGGGTCAGAGGAGGTGACATTTTTTTCATCCCTCATGAATGTGTAAATTACCTTGATGAAGCTCAGAGGGGCGAGCACATCCATGAGGACACTGCTCCACGGGTCTTCAAAGGCAGTGTCGGAAAGGAGGCTTACGATCCCAGAGTTCATTTCCTGCAAACTGACCATCCCCGGTCAGAGGAGAATACCACCTTCTCCCAAAGACATTCCCCCCCTTTTTTGGGGGGTACTGGGAATTGAACTCAGGACCTTGCGCTTGCCAGGCAGGTGCTATACCACTGAGCTATATCCCCGGCCCTCCCCTTAGTTTTTTGAGATAGGGTTTCACTATGTAGTTCAGGCTGGCCTTGAACTCATTATGTAGCCCAGGCTGGCCTCAAACTTGAGACGATTCTCCTGCCTCAGCCTCCCAACTGCTGGGGTTACAGGTGTGTGCCACCATACTTGGCATTCAAAGACATTTAGTGCTGCACTCACCAGACTTTCTAGCCCTATTCTGAAGGCCATGATTTCTCCCACCCTCAGCTGTTTGGCTGCTAGTTTCCAACATCTGGCCACTGCTGATCCAGGACAAGAGACACTGGACTGATCCCAGTGAGGCTGAAAACACCCCACCTTTAGACTCCAGAGCAAGAAAGGTAAGCTGCAGAAGTTCCCCACAGGATTAGAAGGATGAGTAAAAGGGCCTTGAAGTTACCTACCCAATGATGTATATGTCCAGGTTCAGGTTTGGATCATTCAGCTGAAGCAGGTCACTGAGGTCTAGAGGGGGTGCTTCTGAGGCCACATTCCAGGTCACAACATGAATGCTGTGGGAAAGATACAAAGGGAAGTCATGGAGGAAGGCGCTAAGATCTTGTCAAGATAATGGACAAGGCTCTAGGCCTGCTAATGCTAATACCACAGTCCACTGCATCATAATGGGAAATGTGTCTCTGCATCTGGTGCGAGGAGGAGCAATGGACTTCATCCTCATTTTTTTTTTTTTCCATCTTCATTTTTATCCCCTGAAGCAGGAATCTACCCTGGACTGGATTCTCCATGCAGGCCCACAGCTGCCCACATGTGGCTGCACTGGTGTTGCCAACCACAGCAGAGCTGCCAAAGGGAACCCACAGGCTTTTGGTTAAGCAAAGGAAAGGATGCGGGGCTGGATGGCCAGGAATTTATTAATCCATCAGCTTCTCCAGCCCTCTACACTTCAATGATCATCTATCTATGGGTCAGTCAATAACTCCCTACCCCTACCCATCAACTCAGGGGTTCCTAAGACCACTAGGAAGATCTCAGGGTTCAGGTTCAGACTATATGTTGTGAGAGGCCTTGAGCTGCTAGAGCAAGGGGATTTCAAAAATAACAGAGATAACATTATATTCCCTTGCTTGCAGATCCCCGTAGCTCAACAAATTCCACCAAGTCTTCAGGGAGCCTGAGAAGTGTCTAAGCAACCAGTTTCTTAGCCTGTCTCTTGAGTCTACCCTCTCTTGGGCAAAGTCATTAATTGGATAACATTATCTTTTTTGGGGGGGGGTTGGATAACATTATCTCAGCTTCATACAAGAGAACTAGATCAGTGGCTCTCCATAACACTATGTCCTGTCAGAGGCCAGAGGAAAGAGACCTGAATAGCATTTTTTGTTGCGGGGGGGAGGAGGGTTTGAGACAGGGTCCTACTATGTAGTTCAGGCTGGCCTTGAACTCACTATGTAGCCCAGGCTGGCCTCCAGGATGGCCTTGCATCGGTCCTCCTGCCTCAGTCTCCCAAGTGCTGGGATTACAGATGTGCGCCAGGACACTCGGTTTGAAGAGCTGGTTAATAATTCCAGCAACACTCCAAGGAAGCCCAGACTGTGCTGAGTACAGATGAGGCAGGAGGTGCAGACTCTGCAGAGATCAAGAACAGCCACCAAACTTCCTGTGAATCTTAAGAATACTATGAGAAAGAGTACCCGCAGCAACTAAAGATCCAGAACGGGACCAGGGGAGGCTGGGGGGCGGAGGCGCTGGGAGGAAAGGGCAGGTTCAAAACATGTCTTCTCCACTAGGCCTTGTTCTTAGAGGTTCATGTCCTAAAAAGCCTGACTTGAAGAAATTCTTGGCCAGCTTAAAGCAACTTCCTGCCTCTCCCTTGAATGTAAACAAAATACAAAAACCGCCTTCTCTGGAACGATGAGATTATGTACTTCATTTGTTTACGATCTCCCCCTGCTGTCCAACAGAGGATTAAGGAAGGCAGCCCTTTATTCAAAGGCTCCTTGCTTCCCAAGGGACTTTTTCTTCCAGGATGGAGAACAAAAGTCGGGATTTCTTGTCCCCACTCTCAGGACTGAGATTAGCAGTAAACTCGTGCAACGTGACTTACAGTAAGTTGGTGATTAACGTTGTTCTTCGTGAAAGAGCAAGCATGAGATCAGGCTTCACTTCATTAAAGGAACTTATCTAAATCTGATTTTGAATTTCGGAGGTCATAAAGGGATCAGGCAGATCCCCAAGGTGTATGTAACTGATTTTCAAAATAGGACTTAGACTTGTAGTCTACAGCTAAGGAGCGAACGCATTATGTCTTTAACAGCCCAGCACAAGTCTCTCCCCCAAAGACCTACAGGGTCCGGGGCGCCCCAGCCGGAATGAGTTCCAGCGCCTAAATTTAGGGAAGGCGCGAGCCGCAGACCCTACACATTCCACTCGGCCTTGGTCTGGAAGAACGTAGGGGGGCAACCGAGTAGTGGGCTCGCCCATTCTCTCCCCGTCTGGTTCTGTCCAAAGGCCCGCCATCCCTACAGGGCTTCAGCCAGCGATTCTGCCGAACAGGTCAGCCCGCTCGCAGGTGTTCTCCTTACCTGAGCTTCATCTGTTTTGCCTCAGACAGGTCCTGTTGGCTCTCTGCGGCCATCATCCCCACGCGGTGGCCCGGCAGGCTCGCGTCTCCCTATCTATGCTGGTCCCCTCCCAAGCAACCACTCGGGCAGCAGGTCTCGGAAGCCTCACTAGTTCCTGGTTGTTTTTGTTCCGTATTCTGACAGTCCGCCTCGGCTTCCGTAAGAGGCGGGTCTTGCTACGCCAAGGGTTCTGAGTGATGCGCTTTGGGAAAAGAGGCGGGACTCTCCAACAGATGCTAAATGGCTACAGGCTCAGAGCCGGGCCCGGGAAGATGTCTTGACCGTCAATAGAATGCGACGTAATAAGTCCCATGTGAGCGAGCGAAAGGCCGGCTCCGGAGCCCCACCTCCCCGCTACTCCCAGCTTGCCCCGCGCGGGGTCGAAAAGGGGGCATCTTCCGGCGGAAGTCGCCTGCAAGAGCTTCTGCGGTTTAGGCCCCTGGCTTCCGTGCTGTCTTCCCTCCCGCGCCCGCCGCCCAGACCAGGGCGGGGCCACGCATAGTCAGTTGTGCTTGTGACCTAGTCTCTCCCCAGTAGAGGCGGTCTTACGTTGGTCACGGTGCGTCGGTACTCTTACTTTTCAAACTCTGGCTTTCTGAACTTCTTGTTTTACCTGTTGCACATAGGGTATTCATGGGGTTCCTGGGCTCTTCGAAAGTGGCCATTAATGCTTTTTTCTGTTGTTGTCTTTTTGAGACAGGATCTCGCTATGTAGTTCAGGCTGGCCTTGAGCTCACTTTGTAGCCCAGGCTGGCCTCGAACTCGAAACGATCCTCCTGCCTCAGCCTCCCGAGTGCTGGGATTACCGGCTTGTGCCACCACGCCCGGCAAAAGTGGCCATTAATGAATGAAAAATAAATTTTTTCTGCTTGGTCTATATGTAAAAGTAAACATGAAATAAACTTGGCCAAAAAAAAAAAAGCCCTGTCCCTTTGTCTGTCTCTACTTTTGCTGTCTTCTGCTGCTCCGGGTGCCATAAGCTGTTGCCCTCTGCCATGTACCACCTTAAAAACAAAAACTACAATTTCCTTTAAGTCAGTTTTTCAATCTTTTTTGGGGCTGAGGGAGACTACAGGGGATTCCACTGAGAGCCATGACTCTCCCCCAGAAAAATACACACAGTACACACAGTTTTATAAATAAGCTTCATAAAGTTTACAAACCCTAATGCCAGATTAAGTTAAGGAGCTGGGGATACTGCTCAGTGGTACAAGCGCCTGCCTGGCAAGCACAAGGTCCTGAATTTGATCCCCAGTACCAGATTAAGTTAAGCCGCCCCGCTCCCCCGGCCCCGTTTGGAGGCAGGATCTCACTATGTAGTTCAGGCAGGTTGGCCTTAAACTCAAATTTGAGGTCATCTTTCTGCCTTGGCCTCCCAAGTGCGAGGATTATAGGTGTGTGTCACTATGCTTGGCCAAGGACGCCTACTTTATTTTCATTGACTCATTTCTTTAGGTTCTTTGAGACAGGGTCTCACTGTGTAGTTCAGGCTGGCCTTGGTGGTGATGCTCCTGCCTCAGCCTCCCAAATGGTGGTTTTAAAGTCTGTCTAGGCCTGTAATCCCAGCATTCAAGAGGTGAGGTAAGAGGATCACCTCAAGTTGGAGATGAGCCTGGAATACATATGAAGAATAGGAATACCCTATCTCAAAAAAAAAAAAAAAAAAAAAAAAAAGAGTTAAGACTCTTATTTTCCGATTTTAAGCCCTCTATGGTGCAGCACTCCAGAAGTCACGCCCCCTAAGGAGGCTCAGGTAGCACACCTTGACCAGAGGGGTTTGAGGCCAGCCTGGGCAACATAGGGAAATCCCATCTCCAAAGAAAAAAATAAAAAAATTGGCTGGGTGTGGTGGCACACACCTGTAATCCCAGCACTCAGGAGGCTGAGGCAGGAGGATCATTGAGAGTTCCGGGCCAGCCTGGGCTACAAAGTGGGCTCAAGGCCAGCCTGAACGGAATAGCGAGACCCTGCCTCAAAAAGAAAACAAACAAACAAACAAAAAAAAACCACCCACAACAAAAAAACCCAAAAACCCTTCCTACCTTAAATAAATGTTGCGCTAGGTAGGGTGGATGAGGCATATGTGGAGCAGAAGGGCAAAAAGCACCAAGGAAACACTGCCACTAAAAAATGGCCAAACTGCATTTACTTGTTTTTTTGTTTGTTTTTTTTTTTGTGCCGGAAATTGAACTCAGGACCATGCACTTGCCAGGCAGGCACTCATGCCGTTGAGTGAATTTAGATATACAATGCTGTGTAAATAAATTGACAAGGGAATATTTTAATTAGTGGAAATCACCTGCATAAATTTTCATACATCATTGTACCTTCTCCTAATCCTGCCATGGTAAAGTAGGGGAGGGCACAGCAGTAAGAGTTTGAGGATACTACTAAGTAAAATGGACATAAGACATCACCAGTAAGCTGGACTCCAGAAAGCTTTGTCTAGGATTTTATTAGACTGCTTTTTTCCCCAATATACCTGTATTGGAAGATTGAGACAAAAAGGCACAAACTCACATTAAATAAACAAGGTAATCTAATCAGTTCTACAAAGTGTAGTTTGTAAAAGAAGTAGCACTAGGAACCAACCAAAATAAGTCAGGGAGTCCCAGTGAGGACTGAAAAAGGAGAACTTGGGAAGATAGACACATGCCCACAACACTGACCCCTGTCCTCAGCCTCTCTTGGTGAGGCCAGAGCCCAGCAGCCCTCATGCAGAGGTACCGCTACTTTCAGCTAGGACTGAGACCCTGCAAGTCTAACGGAAGCAGCTGGTCTGCAGGGGTGTAGTGCACCCTTAGGTACTCTCCTCCCGGAGCCGAGCCTTTGCTGGTCTGCAGGGGTGTAGTGCACCCTTAGGTATTTTCCATCTGGAGCCGAGCCTTTGCTCGGAAGCCCCTCTGAGTGCTAGGCAGTTTAGGGTGGGTGGAGAGGGAAGGGGGTACTTAAAAGAAGCCAACACTGTTGCCCAGCAGCAACACTACCCGTGAGGACAGAATACCAGGGACATCCACCTTTTTCATGTGGGCAGGAGCCCCCGATGCAGGCTGATCTCAGGAAACTGTAGCTCAGCTCGTACGGATGCTTCCAGTTGGGGTGGGAGTGGGAAGTGGCTAGAGGTGGAGGAGTCAGGGAAAAGGCAGATAAAGAGTGAGCCCCCGTTAGAGCTAATATGATATGTGTGGATCTCACAGAGCTGAAGAAAGGAGGCTAGCATCTGCTGACCCTCGCCCCACGTTAACAAAAGTCTGCAAATAGTATCAGTTTCTCCCAAGATAACTCAAATCTGGACTTCACCTAGTTGAAGAATGAAGAAGGAAAGTCTTTAAGCACACATGTAATTAATAGGTAACACAGAGCTTGTAGGAAAACATTTACATTTTTCTCCTGTAGGCGGAATGCCTCTTCTCCAACTTTCCCAGTCCCACACGTACTAGTAGCAGTTGAGATGCAAATCACAACTGAACATGCAGGTCCATTATGAAGGACCCAGCAAAGCGAGGAGACGTACAGAGGAAAAATGCCTGTAAGAGGACATCTCTGGTCCCAAAGGGACCTCAGTGAAGGTCACAGCTAACCATGCTGCAAGGTCCGATTCTGCCTGCTCTTGTGCCAGGAAGGCCACACGAAACCACCCATCAGGATGTCCCAGGTGCAATCCCGTGAGACACTCCCTTATTGCACTTAGAAATGAGTAAGGTAAGGCAAACTAACTGATAAAAACATAAGGATAAATTATCCCATCCCAATTCTCACTCCCCCAAGGGAGATTTGGTCTCTCTCGAAAGAGGCACCCAGGCTAGCTTGGGGCTGGATGACTGTACACTCAGGCTGACACACTTCACAGGGTTTCAGAACGGTCAGGTGACACTGTAGCTGTCTCAGAGTCTCCCACCAGGAAGGCATTCTCATTTTCTGCCAAGCTGTAGGAACTAGGAAACACTCAGCACACTCTCCTCCCCTGGAACCTGGACCTCTCCAGCCTACTTTGGTAGAATTCTACACTATGATCACTGCTCGCTTTTGATTGTCCAGGACAGAACTCAGCCTGGGGGCAGCATGACCTGAGTTCTTTTTCTTCAAATTCCTTTCCAATGATTGGAGACAAGAGGGTACATGTTCTGCTGGAAAAGAAAGCTTTTTGCATGCTCACTGGGTGCAGCATGAAGAGATCAGGACTCTTGCATTCTAACCAACCTCAAAGACAGAGGATAGGGATCTAAGAAAGCACAGAGAAAAGATTATTGCTGAGTGGCAGCACCAGCCCAAAAGGGAAGAGGAGCATGGACATATAAAGCTCCTTGGGGTCAGACGGATCAGTATCTACCGGACAGACTCAATTCTAAGGGCCACACTGGACAAGTCCCTCCAGGCGGAGAGGTGACTGGGGTGTCCTGTAGGCTCTGCAGAATGATTCACACAGAATGGGCAACAGGAGGGCCAAGAAGCTACAACTGTTTCTAAGAATAGTGGCCAGAGATACAGGGACTGGGGCAGGAATTCTTATTTGTTAAATTTTCTGAAACAGAGACTCGCTGGGCCTCCTTGGTCTCAGAGCATTCTAACAACACATTATGGGAGCAGAGGTCAGAGTTATGAAGCCACACTGCTATTCTGTGGAACTGGGAGGGTGGGAATTCTGTATTTCTAACTCGTCCTCTCTCCCCAAGTGAGCACTCAAAATTGCAAAGATCTGCCCAGGAAGCAAAAATATTAGTTTATCCCAAGGTTGAAAACAAAGGAACTTAAATCACCACATCACAAAAGGCAGCTATTTTGAAAGACCAAAAATGTCACTTGGAAATAAAGTGGGGAGGAGACCACACAGAAATGGGTCAGAACACAATGGAGAGAGAGGGAGGAGCTGTAAATACAGCAACCTACTCCCCACATAGCTCAGAGGAGCAGGCTCCCGCACACACGGGCTCTGTAATACCGGACGGTCTATTTGTTCACAATATTGAAGGGTATCTAGAATTAGCTACAGTAAGGGATCAGAAGTTGCCTGAAGAATGGGCACAGAAAGGCTGCGTCCGAAGATGGCCTGTCACTCAGGAGGGTGGAGCTGCTGGGCCTTCCTGTTGACCACTGTCTTGCAAAACTAGAAGAGAAATACAATTATTAAGGAAGCAACAGAGGAAGGCAGGAGCACACTGTAAATCACTGGAAGTGGAGGAATTTCAAAAGCCAGAAGGGCGGCAGCTGCTGGAGACGGGGGTGGTGGGGAGGACACTGAGGTCCCAGCAGTGACTGGGAAGCTGGCATTGCAAGAATCCACTTATTCCTACCCTTCCGACCCCCAGAAGCTGCTCTAAGAATACAAGAGCAGCAAGAGCATGCAGAGGTCTGCATCACTGGTGCTAAAGGACAGTCAATTTTTTATTTGACGAAACAATTTTCTCAGTCTGAGAGCAGGGCCAGGTTTTTCATTAATGACCACTCTGAGCTGCAAGCGTAACATGAGTCTGCAGGTGTGCAGGGCACAAGGGAGACAGCATGGGGAGCTAACAGAGGAAGTGCCTCAGGCAAGTGACAATATGAAGCAAGGGACATTCCCCTCCTGGCCCCAGGACCTGGGCAGAAGCATTTCCCCAGCATCTGAATGATGTTGGCCTCTATTGAGGACAGTTATTTAGTATGGGGCCAAGGGTACAAAGAAGGAAATGAAGAACCAAACACAACGATGAATGCTTATAAAAGCTGTTTGGCCAGCAGATTTTTCAAGGGAAGGGCAGGGGGACGCCAGTACTCGGCAGTGTGGAACAGCTGACGGGAGTACAGGATGTGCACCATCGTGCCAGCGTCTACTTGACATGGCTCAAATTGCAAGAGGGGAAGTGATTAATGGCACACAAGCTTTGCTTCTGCGTCCACGGCCCCAGTCCTTACCACCCTGTCCATGTCTATCTGGGTGGTTCTTTATACAACTTTTCTTGGAAAAGTCTTAAAAGCCATAATCCTTTTCAGTGGAGGCCCGAGAGCTCGCTGTTTAACATGGCAGTCATCATCAATACTAGAGTGAAAGATGAATGAAGGATGAGGTCGGCTTTCTGACTCCATTGTGAGCTGCTGAGACCTTGAGGACCCAAACCGATTTTTAGCTTCTATGACATGCACAGTGAGAAATAAAGTACATACAGTGCAGAAAAGGGAGGGGTGGCTTTAGTCATCTGCTGTCATTCCTTTCACTGGGTCCTTTTGTCTCATCTGCAACAGAAAAAAAAAAATTGAGGGCCTTGATGCTAGATGGAACTCCACCACGATTACAGCCTGGCTTCAATGCTGCTAACATTGGGGCAGGACAGGATGGGGCAGTTTTTGCACACAATGTAAACTTCCACAGAATTTGGTGCACACACGGCCAAAGCCACACCGTATGGGGCCTCTGTCACAGGCCCCACCTTTCAACACCTTAGTCATATACCATGCAAAGCCATCTTCTCCCTTCTCCTGCTCTTAATAAGATAGGACTTCCTACCAGGGAACTGGATAGCTTCCCCCACTGTCAGAGATGAGGTAGCCCTAGAGGGTGCCACTGAAATAATTGTTTTGTTCTTATAGCAAAATAGCCTAGGAATGGTTATTTCTCATTTCCTGGTGCCTATATGACATGAGAAATTTATGTGATTGTGGTATCGCTCAGATCCAGCCAATGTAAGCTTTATATATATTTGAAGAATATGAAAATAGAAATGCTAATCCTGTTTTTGTCTTTTTCTTAGAAAAGTTAGTGTTTATTGATACACTGCAAGAGAGCAGCAGATAAGTTCCCAGAGAGAATGGCAGGCATGGTGGCATGCATCTGTAATCCCAGCACTTGGAAGGTTAAGGTAGGCAGATGGCTGTGAGTTCAAGGCCAGCCTGAACTGCACAGTGAGACCCCACCTCAAAAAAAAAAGAAAAAAAAGAAAAACCGGTATGAAACACTTGCTATTTTCAAATCTTATTAAAAATAGTAACAACAACAAGAAAGCTGATAATAAATAATAGGGCCCTTAAATTCTTTAATTTTATTTGTGGCAACTTATACTAAGGAAATAATCCTAGTTACCAATTCATATATCAAAAACCAAATACCTAAAGATTTCATCACAGTGAGAACCTAGAACTATTAATAAAAATTCAATAGGGCTGGGGCTATAGCTCAGCATGCAAGCACCTGCCTGGCAAGTGCATGTCCTGAGGTTGATTCCTGGTACCCACCCCACCCCCCTACCCCACCCCCACTACAAAAAAGAAAAATCCAATAAAGAACCACAACAGAGTACAGAGCAACATATTTTGCAGTTGTAAACATGTATATAATGAAATCTGGGGGGCGAGGGTGAAGGTTAGTGATAAAATATGTGTTTAGCATGTTCGAGGCCCCAGGTTCAATTCTCAGAACCATTTAAAAAAAAAAAAAAAAAAAAAAAAGGTAGGCGGTACCCCCCTAGCTCAAGGGAACTAAGCCATATCCCAAGTCCTTTTTTATATTTTTAAATTTTAAGACAGGGTCGTGCTAAGTTGCCCAAGCTGACCACCAACATGTGATCCTCCAGCTTTAGCCTCCTGCACAGCTGTGATTACAGACATGTGCCGCCATGCTTGGCAAAAAGCTTTGTTAGTGAGAAATCCTTTATTATAATGTTCAGAGAAACAAGATAAATAACAGGTAATAGGCATTACACTCAATACTAAGTGTGTAGAAAGACTCAGAAAATGTACAAAAATGTTTAGAGTTGCTTTTTTTTACCCACTCCCCGTACTGGGGATTGAGCTGTTCCAGAAGTACGTCTATAGGCCTTTTCTTATTTTTTATTTTCAGACAGGGCCTTGCTAAGTCACTAAATTTCCCAGGATGAGTTTGAACTTGCCATCATTTTTTTTTTGTCTTTTTAAGACAGGGTCTCACTATACAGTTCAGGCTGGCCTTGAGCCCACTATGTAGCCCAGGCTAGTCTTGAACTTGCAACAATTCTCCTGCCTCAGCCTCCCAAGTGCTGGGATTACAGGCATGTGCCACCATGCCAGGTCTTTGTCATCTTTTTGTCTCAAGCTCCCAGAGTGCTGGAATACAGGCATGTGCCACCATGCCCAACTCTGTAGTTGTCTAGTTTTCAGTATTTGACAAATGCTTAACACTTATATAAAGGGCTGGGGTATCTCAGCGGCATAGTGCTCATGGGTTTGACCCAAAAAAACAAAAAGATTGTAGGAGGGCACTGTCATCCTCCAGATGGAGGAGTCCACAAGCCTTAAAAGCCCTAGGCCTGCCTCTAAAAATGTTATGAAAATCTTAGGTTCTGATCTCTTGGCCCAGCAGCTGAGCTAGATAAGGGGTTTCTCCTTATTAGCCTAATTCTCAGCACTTCCAGCTGGTTAGTATGTTCCCAAGCCGAGAACTTTGGGGCATAGTGTCCTGCCAGACACTTCTCTACAGGAGTGACCTGTCTAGTGTTGAAGACTTACGTGGACGGTGACTTAGTAGTCAGAAAGCCGCAGGATGAAGCTAGGGCCCTCACCAAGGAAGGGGTCAGGCAATGTACACATTCACATCCAACCTATGGACAAGACCAGCTACAAAGAGGTTTGGAGACAGCTCCCAAGGCAGGGGCCAGCTAGGCAAAGGGATGAGGAGGGACCAGGGGAATCATGGAGCCGGGACATACAGAGCAAGACCGAGAGGCAGGCCAGGAAAGAGAGCGCTGCAGGTTCTAGGAGGGCAGACCCTAACCATGCACACAGCATCAGTCTCTTTGGTGTTTTTCAGCAAATGTTCTGAGGAGCAACAGCAGGAAGACAAGTCTCCTTCATTTTCTTCTCTTGCAGTACTAGGCATCAAACCCAGGGATGCTCTGCCTCCGAGTGATACCCCCAGCCCTTTTTATTCTGAGACAGGGTCTTGCTTACTTGCCCAGTCTGGCCTCAGAGTTGAGATCTCCCTGTCTCAGTTTCCCAAGTAGCTAGGAGTTCAGGGGTAGGCCACTGTGCCCGGCTTTTCTTAAAATTTAAAAAATGAGGTATCTTTTCCTACTCTGTGTCTACACAGTTTAGTGGCCAGAGGCTCAGAGGTACTTATTCAGTGAACTATAAGGTAATCTTAATTTCTTTTCTTTGCCTTTT